GGGGCGGGGAGGGAGACAGCTCCAGGACCCCGAGGGTCTGCTGAGGGCTGTGCTGGGATCCGAGCCCAGCGTGGCACTGGCCTCCTGGGGGCAGGCGGGGTTGGCTGTGGGGCGAGCCCAGTGCTGACTGTGCCGCCTACGCCTGAGGTGCCCGTGGAAGTCATTGCTGGGCATGGCCAACTGGCAGCCTCATGGTCAGGTGATGGGCAAGGGACCCCATCCCACCCACCAGGGCCAGCCTGATGCACTCAGGCTGCTTTGGAGGGCCAAGGTCAGGGAGTGTCCCGGGGCACTGGAGCCTGCAGAGCTGGGGGTGGGCGTCCTGTGCGGAATGCGAGTGGGGAGGGTCAGTGATGTCCACTGGCCTGGACAGGGTAGGGAGGGCCTGCGGAGTCTAACCCAGCTCCCGTGCACAGCTGGGTCCACTCTGCTGGCCTCGGCCTGCTGCCCAGGTGTTACTGGTCCCCCAGGCCTCTCCCATCTCCATGAACTGGCCCTCGGTCCCCAGGGGGAAACTGGGTCCGTTGGGGAGGAGGACAGCTTTGGGCCACCAGGCCTTGTGCTGGCAACTCATGGACACCTGGGGACAGTCTGGGCAGCCCAGGACCCCTGCCCTGCATGGTCTCAGCAAGGCCGCGCCTCATTTCCGGGCTGTTGTAGTCTGTCGTCTATGAGTGTCTGTGACCTGAGAAGGTGCTGGCTGCCGCTGGGCACTTGCAGCCAGGGCGACTGGAGCCTCGTCAAGGGCCACCCTCAGCCCCTCGGTGCTTGTACTCACTATGCTGAGTCCTCGCCCTCCGTCCCGTAATTCCTGATGTTCGTGGCAGCCGTGACTCCGCAGATGATGAAAGGAACCCCTCCACTGACGAGGTAGAACCTGCCGGAGAGCAGGAGGTTGCTCACTGACCTTTGAACCCAACTGGGTCCCCCAAGGACAGCATCACCTTCAGGGCAAAGGAGGGAGGGTGGCCCAGGGGTCCTGGCCAGCAGCTGTCAGGCAGGGGCAGCGCCCGCACCCCCAGCCCCCTGGCTGCTGCGCCCCTGAAGAGATGGCCCTGGCCAGGCCCCAGTGCCATGTCCCCCATGAGGAGACTGACACGGGTCCTAGGTCCTTGGGTGGGAGCAGGATGACCCTGCCTCTGGTCACTTGTGGTGACCCCTGGGGACTTTTCCTCCCAGAATTCTATACCCAGAAACACACCCTTCAGAATGCAGGAGAAATAAAGACAGATTGTAATAAAAATAAAACTAAGTGTCCCGCTGACTTCAAGAAATGCTAAATGAAGGCCTTCAGGCTGAAGGGTTCTTGTACCCGATGGACACTTGGAGGAAGAAAGAACATAAAAATGCTAAATAGTAGGGTAAGTAGAAAAGGTTTTGTTTCCTCTTAACTTCTTTAAAATACATGTGACTGTTTAAAGGAAGAATGTTACCTCTGCCTGTGGCATTTATGACACACACAGGGGTAATATATACGGCGTCTCCAGCCTAAGGATGTGGGAGGGGAGAGGGGCCCCATTCAGTCACAAGGTTTCTAATGTAGTTTACATGAAATAGTAGAATTTTCACATTGAACAGGCTGTGAAGAGGCCGTGGATTTAAATCCCTGAAGCGACCACAGAAAATTAGTAGGCAAAACACTAAGAGATAAAATAAAGAATTTAAAAATGTTAAAATAATCCAAGAGGAGGAAATAGAAGAGGAAAGGAAGGACAGAAGAAAAAAAAAGGAAGTAACGCTCTAGCCGGTTTTGCTCAGTGGTTGGAGCTTCCGCCATGGACTGAAGGGTCCTGGGTTCTATTTGATCAGGGGCATGTACCTTGGTTGCAGGCTCGATCCCCGTGTGGGATGCAACCAATCAATGTGTCTTTCTCATATTGATGTTTTTCTCTCTCTGTCTCTCCCCCTCACTTCCATTCTGTCTAAAAATAAATGAAAAAAATATCATCTGGTGAGGATTAACAACAATGACAAAAAGTAAAACAGAAAACAAATAGTGAAATGGAGATCTAAATCCAACAAAATGAAAATTTCATTAAATTTTAATGGACTAAAAACTCCAAAGGCAGAGATCATCAGAACTGATTAATAGCAACAAAAAAAGCAAGCTATTTACCGTCTACAATAGGAGCATTTAAAATATAAAGGCACAGAGAGGTGGAAAGTTAATGGATGGAAAAAGCAGTCCACACAAATCATGACCCCAGGAAGTCTGGAGTGGCTACATTAATAGCAGATAAAGTAGATTTTAAGAGAAAAAGATAAAGAGGGACATTTTGTAATGATGTCAGTGTTAGTTTACTGGAAGTCATGGCAACCATGAATGTGTGGGTGCCTAGGAAAAGATTCAAACTACATGAAGCAAAATGGACAAAATTAAAGGGCAAAATGGACAACTCCAAAATCATAGTTGGTGATTTTAACTCCCCTTCCTTAGCAATTGAGAGAACAAGTAGTAAAAAAAATAAATCAGTAAAGAAACAAGATCTGAACAACAGTATTAATCACTTTGCCCTAATTACTCTTTCTAGAACATCACAACCAATAAATGCAAAACATTTATTTTTTTAAGTGCACATAGTCTGTTCATCATGACAGATGACATCAAGAAACACATCTCAATAAATTTAAAAGAATTTAAAGCATACAGAGTATATTCTCTGATCACAATGAAATTAAGTTGCAAATTAATGACAGTAAGATAACTAGGAAAATCACGACTATCTGGAAATGAAATGATGCACTTCTACTAGTAAATAATTTGTGGATCAAAGGAGAAATCAAAAGGGAATTTAGAAATGATTTTAAACAGAATGAGGAAGAAAATACCATATAAGATTTCTGGGTGCAGCCAAAGCAGGATTCAGAGGGACATTCATAGCTATGACTGCATCTGTGAGAAAAAAGGAAGGTCTAAAGTTCACTGACATAAGATTCCACCTCAGCAAGGCAGAAAAATAAAAAATCAAAGTAAATGGAAAGGAGCAGGAAGAGGAGAGAATAAAGATAGGAGCAGAGATAAAGAAAAAAAAAAGTCCTGGATATAATGTACAGCACGGCGACGATAGTAATACTATGCTGTATCTCTGAAAGTTGCTAAGAGGGTGGATCTTAAATGTTCTCATCACAAGAAAAAAAGTAGTAATTATGTGGGTGATGGATGTTAACTAGACCTATTGTGGTGATCACAATATACACGAACATTATGTCCTACATCTGAAACTAATAATTTTATGTCAGTTACACCTCCATTAGAAAAAAAAAAGACAAAAGTAGTGAAAATTACCAAAGCAGACGTTGATTTCCTGAAACCATGAACAAAACAACATAGCCTGAGTGGGCTGATGAAGAAAAGAGAGAGAGAAAAAAAAAGAAAGAAAGAAAAGAGAGAGAACAATTTCCAGCGTTAAGGAGGTGGTTTTCCATCACCCGTCCCACAGGCACCGAAGGAGTCAGAGGGCAGATGGTCCCGACTTAGGATGGTTCTACTTACGGTTTTCCAACTTTATGATGGCGTGAAAGTGAAACGCATTCAGTAGGAACTGCACTTTGAATTTCTGATCTTTCCCTGGCTGGTGCTATGTGGTGTGATGTTGAGCGGCAGGGTGAGCGGAGGCTGCCGTTAGCCACGTGATCACGAAGGTAACAGCCCGTTACCGGCAGTGTGCTGTGTTGCCAGTGTTTTGGGGTATTGTGTTCTGAGCATCTGTAAGGTGGGCTAAGCTAATCTGTGATGTTCATAGGTTAGGTGTGCTAAATGCATTTTCGATTCAACAATATTTTCAATGTATGATGGGTTTACCAGGATGAAACTCCATCGTAAATAGAGGAGCATCTCTATATTATAAACAAGTGTATGTGAATGATTCAGCAACTTAGATGAAATGAATAAATTCTTTGGGAAAAAAAAACACCCCAACAACATCCAAAAAATCACCAAAATTGAAACAAGAAGTAGAAAGTCCGAATACTCTGTGTCTAATAGAAGATTGACTTCAATATCCACAGACATCTAACAGAGAGACTCAGGTCCCCTGGGTCACGTCTAAGGAAGGGATGACCGGGTCTTATTTAGGCTCCTTCAGAAACAAGGGGGGTGGGGTACCCCCTGACGCAGTTTGAGATTGGTATCCAAACCAGGCAAGGACATTAAAAATGTAAATTCCCTGACATTCTCCCCCATGAACACAGATACCACATCTCTGACACGTAGGACTTCACGAAAAGGATTAAACAAGAGTGCGGTGGGGCTCGCTCTGCTCAAGCCTGTGATCCCCATCATTGGCCCCGTGGCCCAGGCCAGCCCACAGGTGTCTCCCTGGCAGCCGGGTGGGGGGAGAGGGGCCACATTGCTAAGCTGTGGAGCTGGGGGACAGTGTGCCCTGGCCCATTCAGTGCTGTCTCATGCTCTCCTTTCCCGATGGCTACAGACTGTCCCTGTGGGACCAACATGTTCTCCAGTGAGTGGAGCTCTAGAGGCTGCCGGGCCCTGGGCAGGTTCAGACCCTCCCGACTCGGGCAGTGTGGCCCACGGGCCACTGCCCACTGGGTGCTGGAGAGGTGCTGACCTGCCCTGCCGCCCAAGCCTTCCTGGCCGTGCGTCCTGCAGGGTGAAGCGCTCAGGGCCCTCCATCACCTCCGGCCAGGCCCTCTCTTGCCTTTTTTCTGCTTTTTCCCTGAGTATTCCAGCTCAAGTCACTCTGAGCTTTGAGCCCTCAGGACAGGGGCTGAGCACAGCTCCGGGGCACAGCACAGGCTCAGACAGCAGAGGGCGCTGGAGGCCTGGGCAGCTATTCTTGCTGCAGCGGCTGGGTGGTCAGAGGTGTGGAGCCCCTGTCCCCCCCCCACCCCCTTGCCAGTGATCTCTTCCTGGTGGAGGTGGCCCCTCTGCACCAGCCTCACGTGCCCCTGGGCTCCAGCCACGTCCTCTGCAGTGCAGTCTGCACCAGCCTTGGGGGCCCCCAGGTCAGAGCCCCTCTCCTGTGGATCTCGGTGGGGTTTCTGTTTTGTTCCCACTGACACAGCCCCTAGCGGAGCCCAGACCCATTAGGACCACGGGCTTCATGCACTCCCTGTCTCCGCACAACCCAGCCAGAAGCTCCCCTGACCGTAGGGTCGGGCAGCCTCCTCCTTCTGTCAGGGCACAGTTTCTAGAAAGAACCAGTGAATCTGCATCTTGATGAAAATCCAACTACTGCCCGATAGCGTCCTTGGACACACACAGGGTGAGGACGTGCAGCCACGCGGGAGGAAGAAAGAGCATGGGGTACTTGCTGACTGGCTGGCCGTGGGGTCACCGTGGGGCAGCACAGGAGCCAGGGCTGGCCCTGGGCACAGGGACTCTTGGTCTCAGGACGTGGGGGGGAGGGAGTCTGATCAGTAAGTGGGGTGACATTCCCGTGTGAGAACGGGGAGTCGGTCCCTGCTGTGAGCACCGCTGTCCCTGCAGTGTGTGGACATCCTGAGACAAGCCTTTCACCCGCGACTTCGAAGCTATCCCGCCACCTCGGTCTCACTCCGACATCACCGCACACTCCCTCAGCTGCCCTCCATGGCTCGTGATGACGGTACCTGCCTAGACTGGTGATTAGTCTTCGTGGAGAAAGCTGCGAGTCCGAAGCCACTGAGCCCGCAGTCACCTTGAAACCAGCAATTCCAGCAACTGAGCTGCCTCGGTTTCCCCAGCGAATGAGTAGGTATCTTAACTCAGAGACCCGTAAATCACTGAGGCCACTTACTGACTCCCCATTGGAGCCGTGTGCACCACGGCCCACCCATGGCGTGGAGCTCAGCAACACTGGACCGACACACTGGCCCAAGACCTGCTGGCCAGGCTCTAGCCCCAGCTCACTCCTGCCCCCGACCCACCGCCCAGCACCCCCAAACCCTGGCCGCATCATCCTAGGGCCCCAAGTTTCCTTGTGAGCCACTTTGCCTAGATCCCAGCATCAGGTGCAGGACTCCCGGAGCCTGGGGGATGGGAGGTACCTGAGCAGGGGCTGCTGGGAGTACGGTGGCTGGTCTGGGCCCGGGCAGGGTGGGACCTTCTTGGTCACCTGCTTGTAGATGTTCCTGGCGGTCACGGCGATCCACAGCATGGTGGAGAGTGTGCAGTAATGCAGCACGATGCCCACCTGGGGGGCGGGGGAGACAGGTCAGTAGCCGCCCGCCAGTGCACTGACCTCCCTGACCTCCCCACTGCACGTCCCAGCGCCGCCCAGCCCTCCCGCTCCCCTGCGTCCTCAGGAGGCAGCTCGGCAGTGACAAGAAACGAGGCTGCCGGAGGCCCCAGGGTCCTTGGTTCCAGCAACACTGCTCTTCACAGGGGTCTCTGAGCTCAAGGGAGATGCCTGGGCTGCAAAGAAGCCTTGCAGGTATGTTAGCCCAAAGCAGCTTGGCTGTCCTGCAGAGGGACCGGCTGGGAGCCCGGGGGCCTCTGGGTGTGGTCCACCTGGGGCCGGCTACATGGCATCTCTGAGCAGCACGCACACCATCCTGCACACGGGGCCTGTGTGTACGGGTCCCTGTGGTGGGTGTGGCCCAGGCAGGCACTCGGAGAGCTCCAGGCGCTGGGCCCTCGCACACAGGAGCCCACCAGGTGAGGTGGGGTGGTGCGCAGCAGGGGGCTCCCAGGTGCCGGTGTTTTTGGCACTGCCCGTGAGATCAGCACCTTCGGGGTCAGACGCTCAAGTCCGCTCCCTGTCAGTCGGAGTTGCTTGTTACTATGGAAACAGAGCCAGGTTCCTCCCATAGCCAGCACTTACTGCATGAGCTAATCACGCAATCCACGCTCTGTCTCCGCCCGGCTCTAGAGAAGGAGGTTACCTTTGAAGTAATAACCTGACCCTTCACAATGACGAGTAAAATACGGCTATAATGGGAAAGGACATAAATGTTTAAGGAACACAGAGATTCTCTGAGTGAAGCTAGCATTGCACCATCATGATGATTTATCAAGCGCAGCGTTCAGTTTTACTTATGAGAAAACTCTATAACAATTGGTGAGAACATCGAGGAGGCGGGTAAATCCCAGAATTGTATTTAGGGTTTGGGATGGGCTCCTGCACGTGGGTGAGTCCAGCCTTTTCCTCGGCCTGCCCTCCATTGGCTTCAGCTGCATCCTACGCACAGGGCCTTACCCCACCTGGAGGGCGGGGGAGGCGCTGGGAAGCCAGGGGGCCAGCTCGGCAGCAGGAGATGCAGGGCGGGGAGTCACGTCACCTGGCCCTCAATGGAAGGACAGTCTGACTTTCTTTTCAGGGAGAAACGGAGACAGGTCCTCAGAGGCGAGGAGGGCACGGAGCACCCAGAGCTGGGAGGAGAGTGCGGGGGAGGAGGTGGGGCTGAGCCTCATCCTGACTGCATGTGGGGGGATTTTATGAGCCTGTAGACGGCAGAACTCTGTCTTCCAAACACCGACTCAGGCTGGACACATGGAGAGGTCACGGGGACCCCGCCCTGGCTCTCAGACAGCAGTCTACCGCCTCCCCACGCTTCTGGGCCCAGGGCAGCCCTGACGCACATCTATTATGTGAGGACAACGCTGGCCGTCTGTCTGTGATCATGATGTCACTTTGTACTTTAATGAGGCACACGGTCATTTTTTGTTGCCATGACAACCGGCTGTTCTCTCTGCCATTCGGAGCTTGGACCACTTCTCATACATCACTCACTGTCACCCAGAGCGACACTGGTCAGGGAAGGCTGGCCGGAGGGTCCTGTGTCGGGCACCAGGGTCGTGTGTAGGTGTCACTGGTCAAGGTGGGGGCCAGCCTGGCTGCCTATAATGAATTGGCTCATGTAATTAGGGAGCCCGAGGAAGCCCCAGGTCTGCAGTGGGCAAGCTGGAGACCCAGGAGAATGGCTATGTAATTCCTCCTGTGTCTGCATCCAAAGGCCGGAGACCGAGGTCTTTCTCACTCAGACTTCTACTCTATTCAGACCCCAGCAATTGGACGAGGCCACCGATACCACGGACGGCCCTCCACTCTACTCGCCTCATCCCAAACACCGTCCCAGACACACCCAGAATCATGTTTGACATGTCTGGGTGCCCAGGAACCCAGCAAAGGGACACAGGAAGTAGCCATCACCTCTCCCTGTGCCTCCTGGTCTCCTTCTGCGGTGAGTGGAGGAGGGACCCCAGCCAGGTGAGCCTGGCCTCGCCTCTGCTCTGCATCTCGTTTTCTCTGACACGCCGGGCAGGTTACTGCTGTCTACACGCCACTGGAAGGCAGGTCCATACAGCGGGGGAACCGGTAGGTTTGATCTCAGCTGCACCCATAGCACCCATAGGCACCCAGTGCATTTTTGTGAATGAATGAGTGAATGAGTGAATGAATGAATGATGCCCTGATACCTTCCGGCAAGGTAGGGGGGAGATCAGGACAGCATCTGCTGCGGAGCGCAGGGCTGGCTGTCTCTGCTGGGGCCCTAAGGTTGTCACTACGAGAGAATCGAGCGTTTCTCACACTAACAGGATTTCTACAGGTCTTACCTCTGTGGATGTTTCTAGGTCACATCTGCTCCCACCTACCATGCACCCCGGCCAGGCCCTGGGTGCCATGCGGATGGCTAGCAGACACAGATGGCTCCCAGATTTTCTGGGGCAAGGGCTGCTGGGGCCCTAAGGTTGTCACTACGAGAGAATCGAGCGTTTCTCACACTAACAGGATTTCTACAGGTCTTACCTCTGTGGATGTTTCTAGGTCACATCTGCCCCCACCTACCGTGCACCCCGGCCAGGCCCTGGGTGCCATGTGGATGGCTAGCAGACACAGATGGATCCCAGATTTTCTGGGGCAAGGGCTCCCCAGTACCATGATTACTGGGCCTCTGAGGGGTGGGGGTGGCTGTACCACCGTGATTCTGGCGGCTCCTCCTCACTGGGCCGGGCTTGTGGCGCTCGCGTGGAGAAGTGCGGACATAAAGGTAACAATCCAAGCCACGCGTCTGGGTGGCTCCGCTCCCCGGTAGCATTGCAGGCGGAGCGTAAATTGGATTTCCCGGGGCGCTCGCCTCAGTGGTTTCCACGCCTGTGGAAAGGCGAGAGGAGGCGGGCCTGCCCCTCATTGTGCTGTTCGCGTTTGTGCTGGATGGCTCATCTTGACACCGAGTCACAGAAAAGTGGTGTCTCTTTCACCAGGAGCCTAGGGGCTGGGCCCCGGGTGCCAGGGCTCTGGGGCAGGTGCTGTCTCATGGGCCTGATGCCTTCCTTGCGTGCAGGTGGGTGTGGAGAACGAGAGCTAACAGCCCGATTATTCCCTGAGGTACCCCTGTGGGAGCAGCATCTCATCTACCGGTCCCCAGGGTGAGTCTGTGCATGTGGACAGGTCACCTCGTGTGGACAGACAGCCACCGAGGTCAGCGCCAGTACACCAGGTCCCAGGTGGTGAGGCTGTGGCAGCACAGCCATCGATGGATGGCTTCACAGCAACCAAGGCTGTGAGGAGAGCAGCGGGACATCCCCGTGGGTGCTGCTGCCAGAGCTCCCTCCACGTGGCCTGGGCGGGTGTGCCCACAAAGTGACAGAACCAAAGGGGTGGTCCTTGGAGGGATGCTCCGTGGGTTGTGAAAGGGCCTCTTCTGAGCCCTGTCAGGAGCCGAAGGGTCGTTTAAGTTTTTCCCTTTTTACTCAAGAGGGGGCAGGGCGGACTCCTCCGTGGCCTCCACACGTGTCTCTGTGGCCTGGACTCCGTGGCAGCCCGCTGGTGACAGTTTCTGCTGCCTGATTATGAGTCTTGGCATTAGCATCCTGGGATTCTTACTTGGATGGGGAAGCAGGTGGCTTGTCCCCTGCTCCTGCCCCACCAGCCTCTGCAGGGCAGGTCCCTGCTCCCGGACAAGCCCTGTTTGTGGGACAGTGGACTTCTCAGCAGCCTGTCGCCACCACAGGCCTCAGAGCGAATTGGTCCAAGTGAAAAATACATCCTATATATTAAAAGCCTAATATGCAAATCGACCAAACAGCAGAACAACCGGTCGCTATGATGCGCACTGGCCACCAGGGGGCAGATGTTCAATGCAGGGCTCACGGCTGGCGAGTGCAGCTCTCCTGCCTCCGCAGCAGCGCTAAGGAGCAGCCAGCCTGGTAAGGAGTGAGGGCTCCCAGACTGGGAGAGGGTGCAGGCTGGGCTGAGGGACCCCCCCCTACACAAATTTCATGCATTGGGCCTCTAGTTATTTATATGATGGAATACGGAGCAAAGTAACTAGACTCACTTGGGTCTGCAACACGGACACACTGGACGCTGGACCATTCCTTTCATGAGAAACACCCAGATACTCAAATATGATTCCATACACAAGACAATGATCACAAACTTCCCCTTTGGCCAGAGAGGTGATGGACCCTAAGGAAGATGCAGGTGAAGGAAGACTCACCGCCTGGCACAGGATGGGGTACTTGGTGCGGTTGATGCCCCCGGCGAACACGGTGAAGGTCAGGGCTGCGTGCAGGCAGAAGTTCAGGAGCGTGTGCCTGCCCTTGCGGCTGATCCGGATGGCGCTGGGGAAACACAGGTGTGTCGTCAGGAACCCGCCCCTCAGCAGCGTGGGCGTGAGCCCTTCACCTGCGTCTGTCCATGTGGGAACCGGGAAGATCTCTGGGCAGAGAGACACACCCCAAGGACCAGATCAAGGGAAAGACGGACAGCCACCCTCAGTGTGTGGCTGGTGGGGTTCAGTGTTAAACCCCCTTGGAGCACGAGGCCTGGAAGGGTTTTTGAGAAATCTCTTATAACCTTGAGGAGGCCATGACAGTGACCAACTACACGGCGACCCCTGTGGCCACGCGGGCACTGGACTCGGACGCTGCCTATGGCTGTGCCCACACCTCATCCCTGGCTACGGCCACGGCTGCGATTCCCTAGCTATGCTGACAGCTGTGCCTGTGGCCACAGCCCTCCGTGGCCGTGTTCCCACCCCACGTCTCTTCCCATGACGGTGGTTCTGTGGTTATGCCACGGCCCAGGCTTTGCCCATGACTCGCCTTGTGGGCTGAACCCTGACCATGGCCAAGACTCCTCCGCACATTCCCCAGGGCATCCTCGAGTGATGGGGACACAGCCAGCTCGTCTCCTCACTCCCAGGCAGAGGAAACCAGCTCAGAAGAGACCTGACTAGAGTCTCCTTTCTAGAAAAAAAATGCAGACGTGCCTGAGGGTCTGCCGGCTGCTCCAACTTCCCAAGGACGTGGGCCCTCGGGCGCCTGAGCAGACGCTGTGCTGTTGGAGGAAGAACTTACTTCACCTGATTTGATAAGAACATGGACACCGGGGATGGAGGGGCATGGCTGTCCCTGACCGTCGGCGAACCTCGGTCACCCCCAGGGCCACCCAGGCTGGGCAGTCTCAAGCTGGCCGGCCATCTGTGAAGTGCCTTCCAGGGACTTCTTGCTCCGTGAGGGTAGGAGGTCTCACTTTGGGGTTTGCACTAGGCGGGGAGGCGGGGCGTCTCAGGACAGAGTGGGGCCTCACCTCTGGTGCATGAGGTAGGTGATGACGGAGGCGAGGAGGCAGAGCAGCATGACGGCCGTGCAGGCGTACACCACGGGGTGCAGGAACTCCCCTGGGTGCTGGGGCAGGGAGAGGACACTCTTCAAATCCTGGAAGGAACACAGAGCAGACCCAGGTGAGCGACGTGGCTGAGAACCTGTGCATGTGGCAGAGCCACGGGGGCTCTCCCCGAGCCCAGCCCCTCCCTACAAGTCCCTGGTGGCATTTTCAGAATCAGGGGACGTTTGCCAGGTCTCAGCAGAAGGAGGCACCCTGCCAGGGAAGACCCTGCTCAGGTGAGTGCTCAGCAGGTGGAGCCACGCCTCATGGGCTGCCCACGAGTGGCTTCACCGTGTAGGGGCAGCCCAGATGGCCATCTTCATGGGGCTCTGACAGCCCTTGGTGGGTTTCCCCGTGACTGATCCCATCAGCTGCTGCCTTGACAGCAGAGAGACCTCACATAAAAGCCAGTGGATGCCAGGGGGACTCTTCATGGTCTGACCACCAAGGGACCTGGTCGGCAATTGAGGCCACAAATAGTGCCCTGGCCCAGAATAAGAAGATGACCAGACGTGACAGAGGGAGGGTGCTGTGACACTCCACAGACCGTGGGCCGGACACCACGGTGGCACCCACGCTTTGGTCCGCACTGTCAATGGACTGGGACGTCTGAAGGGCAGGTGTGCACATGCACAGAACAGCAATGACTCCCATCAGCCTGGCATGGGCTCCAGCAGGACACATGCTGTGCCCTCGTCCAAATCCCCACTAAACCGTGAGCTCAGAAATAAGACGGCCAAGAGGTGCCAGCCTCAAGGTGACAGGGACACCCTGGCTGCAGCAGCGGCACTATTCAAGATGCAGAGACATTTTGTGAGGGTGTGCCCAGGCTGGGTTCACAGGCTGGAGGTCACTCCGTCCTCGGGCGCTTCCTCCTCCTCTGAGGGCCCAGGGTTAAGGCTCCCCTGGCACTGAGGACTGACCCAGAGCAGCGGCAGCCACAGTGGGTGTTTATAAGAAACAATCAGTTCCCTTTGGCCTCCTCTTTTTTCCTTTCTCCAAATCAGAGTTCTCAACAGTGCCTTCCTACATTTTTAGAGGTGACATTTAAAATTCAAAGTAGGCAATGCAAAGCGGAGACATACTTTATATTTTAAAGTTCACACATGTACAAGTTCCTCCTGGAGGAATCGGCTTTGCAAGCGTTCCACAAGCAGGTCCTGACGGTTGTTGGTATGTGGTCAACAGAGCTGGACCGCCGTCCCTGGACAAGTCCCCCTAGGCCAGGGCCTCAGCAGTGCCCTTTGGACCAGCAACCGTGGGCGGAGCCCCGACCTCACAGCAGAAAGGCTGGGGAGCCCACCCTCTCACCCCCATGGCAGTGGGAGCTGTGATTCCTGGTCACTTCTGGGCCTGCAGGACCAGGAGCTGTCTCCTCCGAGGCTACCGGCTTGCATCCTCCCAGGCGGCCTCTTTTCTCTGTGGAGCTCAGGCCTGGACTGCGGGTTTGTTTGCTTTCCTATTTCTTGAGGCATGAGTTCCTTTTACATTATATTATTCTAAGTTGCGTGTGTCCTTTTGGGATGTTCTGCAAACCAAATAAATCAGGACGTTAAGAGCAAGAGGAAAGGAGGAGGGAGTCAGTCAGGTCGCATGCCACTTGTCTGATCAAAACATCACCCTTTAGTTGAGAGTGACACATGGCCAAGGGGCCTATGACAGCCGCGGACGCAGACGTGTGTGTGCAGACCGTGTGTGCGCCCCGTCCTCTCGGCGAGGCGTCCACAGGCCGGGGGCATGTGGGACGTCCTTCCTTGCGGTTCTGTTCCGACCGAGGCTGATTTCATTAGCGCCTGCTGTCCCTTGTCGCCTTTTTAATGATAATTGCTTCTTATTGATCTGTCAACCTTTCATCAAAGTGTTCCCGGGGGAAAGGCAGAGGAAAAAGATAAGTAATTTATTCATTCGGAGCACAAATTACCCTAATTGGACGTTGCATTTACATGTTTGTTACGTTTCCTTTTGGAGGCGTGTGGGCTGGTCGGCTTCAGAGAGCTTCGGAGAGAACAGTGAGAAGCATCTCGGGGACGCGCCTTCTGACTGGGCGTCACTTGCTTAAGGGGGTGACACTCTCCAGTTGCAGACCGGAGGCTGTTTCAGGAGTGTTTAGAAGTGTAAACAGCGGACAGAATTGAAAGCACAAATGGAGAGCACTCACTGAAGCCAAGTGTCTGCAGCATCCACGCCGCTCTTCTAGGCGAGGCTGGAGGTGCTGGCCTGTGGGCGGGGTGGGGTGGTGGGGAGGTTCCCAGGCTTGGCCTGGAGGATGCGTTTGGAGTGGGAGCGGCCCCCTGCACCTGCTGACCAACCGGCGACTGGGCGACTGAGCGCTGGGAGCGTCCTGAGCGGCACTGGGCCCAGGTCCTCGGCTCGGACAACCGGCGGTTCCCTCCCTATTGGCCTCCCGAGCACCCTGCCTGGTGTCCACCCTGATCTCTTTGGGGGTTTTAATTCCCTTGTTTGAATGTGGGGTACAACTGTGGGGAAAAGGGGCATCCTGAGCGTGCCGCGTGTCTCTACTCCAAGCACGGCCGGGGCGGGACTGGCCTCTCGCCCTGTCCTGGCTTCAGGGCTCTTCGGGACGTCCCCGAGCACGCTCCAAGGACACTGATTCCAGCCCTGAATTCAGAGCATGTGGGGGGCTCCGCTGGGGTGTGCATGAGAGCCCCAGCCCTCCTGTTGTGGCGCCTCCTGGGCCAGGACCATCCCGAATGACCGAGTGGCCTTTGTGCCACTGGGACCTGCAGGTCAGTGACGGGAGCTCACCCTCCGCACGACCTGATGCTGCTGTGACTGGAGGCGCCAGCAGGCGGCTGGACCACCCACGCCAGGCCTCTCCCTGCAGCCACTGCCGCCCAGAGCCCTCAGCCGGGCCACTGACCCTGCTCCTCCTGTGGCTTCTCTGGAAGGAGACAGACAGTGCAAAGGTTTGGACAACCTTTTACTCTACTTCCAAAGCCGGCCACTTTGTTCCCTGAGGAGAGGCGGTCCCCTCGCTCAGGGTGAAGGTCACCGAAGATTATAGGACACAAAGTAATGAGCACGTGGAACCTGCTTGCATTGGAATCCCAACTGCAGCAGCCAGGGACAGGCCAGCCCCCGTCTGCTTCGTGTACTAGCAGTTGTGATGAAGATGTGGGGTGGCGGCGGCCTGGGCTTCAGGTGCCAGACACAGGCCTCCCAGGGGCAGCACCTGGGTATTCAGACCCTGTCTGAGCGCTGGACAGACAGCAGTACCTCCTGGCACCATTCTGAAAGGAGGCGTGGGCCCAGGAAGCCTGCCCAGAGACGCCTGGAACTCGGTGCAATTGAACTTCAGTGTGTGGCCGAGGAAACGTGGGATCCAGGAGGCAGCTTGATGACCGCAGGTGTTAGGGAGGCCCGGGCCCCGCAGGAGCTGCATGTGTGGCCAGAGGGCGGCAGCCGGGGGCAGACTGGGGCAGGCCACCCTGTTGCTGGGCCTTCAGGCTTCCCTCCGATGCCCCGAGCCACAGGATGAGCCTGCCCAGCCGTCTGCACCACAGACTCAGACACACACAGAAAAGTGCTCTCACCTGAACTGTCACCCTGCATGTGAGGCCGGGCATTCTCCTTTCAGAAACTCTCTCCAGTGTAAATGTTATTTATTAAGACAAAACCCCAACAAACTGCTGAAACCCAATCGCTGTGGGCAAGGCTAACCGGGTGGTTTTCAGAGTTGGATGGGCCGGCGTTCTGGCTGAGACCAAGGCACCATGGGCAGACCCCGCCCCTGAAATGGAGAGCGAGTGTATGGAAGGGCCGGAGCATCAGAGAGGAGGCAAAGACAGGCAGCGGTCACCTGTGGCGGCCCTGAAGGGCAGTGCTGGGCACCTGCCAGCTCCCCTGCCAGCTCCCCTGCCCTCCACCAGTGACAGGTTCCATTGGCACATGGGGATCTACATTTGAGGAAGGAAAGCTGGGGATGCTGCCACCCGTGAGGCCACAGCCATGTTGGGTGTGGCACCTGCGGGCAACAAGTGAGCTGGTGGGAAGCTGGGGGCCGGGCCAGGCAGCCCGCCTCTCTGAGGAGCAGCCTGTGCCCAAAACACGCAACCTCTCGGCTGTCTGAAAGGCGAGTGCCTGGCGTCCGTCCAGCTTCCGAGGCCCGGGGCAGCCTGGGAGGGAGGCTGAATTCCGGAGAAAAGCATCTCTCTCATTCGGACATTTCTAACGAGAAAATGAACAGGCGACTCAGACTGACCACTCCTGAGGAAGCAGACCACCAGGTCTGCATTTGGGACTCATTGTTGGGGTCAGTGCCACGGCCGCCGCTGGCTGCACTGTCCTCTGGTCATCAGCATTCCCTGCACGTGCTCTGCCGGCTGTCTCACACACACACACACACACACACACACACACACACTGCATTATTCACTCAGCATCAACCTTCCGGAGTCCGAACTGGCAGCCGCCACAGCGAGGCACACACGAGTCCGCAGGCTGAGCCCCCACATCCCCGGGCTGCTCACAGCAGCCGCCCCCCTTTGCTGGCGAGAGAAACACCCCCGTGTTTGCTGTACGTGCCGCTGAAGCCCACCCACGTCCCCCTGTGGTCCTGCCAACTTTCTGCAGGCAAGAGGAGGGCAGAGCTGCAGTGGGAGGGGCCCGGGCCGGAGGCCAGGGAAGGTGCTCAGAGGCCCTGGAGCCGACCGGGGTGGGGGCGCGGGGCGGACATCTCCTCCACCGATGAAATGATTCAACATTGCGGCATGCCATCAACTAATTAGTATGATCCTCCCGAGCAGCCAGGCAGGCGGCCTGGAAACAAATGGCCACCCCCCGCCCTCAGCCCCCTCCCCCGCCCCCAGGACTCTTGGGCACAGGCACAGCGTATGCCTGGCTGCGGGCTAGCTGACCACCTGACGACTCAGTTTCCTGGCTGGGGCCTCTGTGCGCAGGGTGGCCGCCCTCGACGTGGCCCCCCCGGCCCCGGAGCGTGTGGACTCACCATGAGCACGTGAAGTTACTGAAGGGTGGGCGCCCGGATGCAGATGGTGTCCCCGTTAGCCAGCTATGTCGCGCCTTTCTCCCCGCCAGCCTCCATGGCCGTCCAGAAGGTCAAGGTCCCAAACAGCGGCCACAGGGTCAAGCCCCAGGCTACGGGCCTCAGGGCGACTCTGGTGGGGCAGGTGAGGGTGGAGAGGCTGCACCCACCTGTGAAGACAGGGCCTGGTCAGGGCAGGGGAGGGTCCCCCTGCCGCCCTCTCCCCCCACAGCCCCAGCACCTCCCAGAGTTGCCCCATCTCGGCTGCTCTCAGCCCAGCCAGCCTGTGGACTCTGACTCCGGCCTCCATCTGCCAGGGACATGCCGAGGGCCTGGGGACCACCTGGGCTTGGGAGCCTGAGGGGCCCTGGCCAAAGGCACTGGCAGCCAGACTGCCCTCCAGGGAGCACTTCCTTCTGCACATTTAAAAAGCAACCCATGCTCACCACCCAGCACAGGAAACTAAACTCACCGAGCTGGATAACAAGTCTGTCAGCTTAAGTCAAGAGAATCCAGTAAACCTTGAATGCATCTCCTAAAGAACAGCCAGCCCCTGGCAGGTGGATGGAGCTGGACTCAGGGGCTGGCTGTTTGCTCCCCACACAGACACGGATTTTGGCTGTGGCTCGGTGCCCTCAGCTTAACCCAAAGTTATTGGGAATCTGCATTTCCAGGAGCAGGAATCGCCTCACCCGGGTTGGCACTGATGCCCGAGAAACGGTGGAGAACGGGCTCTGTGGGCAGCGGGCTCCCACCTTGCCTCCCCCACCTCCTGCCGCTTCCTGGCCCTCAGGTCCACCCACTGCTCAGACCCTGAGACGCGATACCCAACTTCTCACCTATTTTGGCAAAAACAGCTGGAGGGGCAACAGCACGGTGCCTGTTGCCGGGGAGCCACTGCGAGCTCGCCCTGCAGGGGAGCAGGTCTCCATTCCCGGGGCCCGTGTGCCCCGCTCGCCAGCAGAGTTATCAACAGATTGCAGGACTGCAGCCGGGGACGTGAGTCAGAGCCAGGACGGCAGACATGCAGCGCGATTCTCAGCACGCAGCTTCCAGAACTCGGGTGAGGAACGCCAGCCGCCTCTGCGCTTGCTTCCGCCGGCGACAGCCAGGGAAGAGGACCGGCGGGAAGCAGGAGCCGTAACCATGGGGATGGGGGAGGCGGATGGCGGCGCTGTGGCCGGCTCCCTGCCGCAGGCTGGGAATGGTTCTTCCCGTGCCCATCACACTGCAGAGCCGATTTAAAGAGACAACCGGCCAGGCTCTGCCTTCGCTCCCAGCAGCGTCGGACAACCCACCTGGAAACGTCTCCCTGAACCGAGGCAGGAGGGCTGGCGATTTTATTTAAAGAAAAAAGCTCTGTTCGTGGAGGGCTCCACAAACAGAAATGTGACCAGGAAGTCGATTTGGGAGGAATTTTCACAGTCCTTGTGTTAAAACATCACGAATCCAAACATGTGCAGACAGAGGTGGACCCACAATGAGTCCTCCCAGGGTGAGTCAGCGATCCTGCTGGTGTGCTCAGCCCCACAGCCCCTGCCCCTTCCAGGCCCCAGGCCCCAGTCCCCAGCCCCAGATAGAGCAGGGCCAGGGGAGGGAGGAGGTGGGGTCCTGTCGGCAGCGAGTTGGACCTGCCCGAGCTTCCGGGTCTGTACTCAGCTCATGGGAACCTGGAGGGGAGCCCATGACTCTTCTCTTCAATCTAGAAGGCTGTAACCCCGCTCAGGGGTCCCAGGTCCCTGCTGTCCCCGAATTTTGAGGGGCCTGATTTTATTTTATTTTTTTAAACGTATTTTTATTTATTTCAGAGACGAAGGGAGAGGGAGAGCGAGCTAGAAACATCAATGATGAGAGAGAATCATTGATCGGCTGCCTCCTGCAGGCCCCACATTGGGCATAGAGCCCACAACTCAGGCATGTGCCCTGACGGGGAATCAAACCATGACCTCCTGGCTCATAGGGTGACATTCAACCACTAAGCCACCCCGGCCAGGCTGAGGGGCCTGATTTTATTGGTGTCATTAAGAATATAGGAATTAGAGGGGTTCTGTGCTCCGGCTCCTCGGCCTCATGCACCCTGCCTCTGAGTGGGGTGCTGCCAACACTTCTCTGTGGAACTCTGGGGTAAGTCCTAAACCTCAGGTGAAGGCATGAACCCCAGGGGTGAAGGGCCTTTCCTGGTGCCCAGAGAGTGGGTGTTAGCGAGAACCTCCTAGGCTGGTTCCCCAGGCCTGTGGGGCAGTTGGAGCTCCCTGGGGGCCCAGGCCTGGGGACAAGAGGGGCAGGGAAGGAGGTGGGGAACCCACTCTGAACTAGGGGATTTTGCCCAGACTCCCCCAGGCGGGGGTGGTCTCCATGGTGCTTCTGCCCTGATGTCCTGTCCGCTGCTGCCCCCTCCATCAAGACTGTCCAGGTACAGGGTGCAAGGTGAACGGGTCAACCCCTCAAAGCCCTCAGAGGCTTCCCCGCCCAGAGATGGCAGAAAGCCAGGAGTGAATAGCCCACCATGGGCTCAGCTCCCCAGGACGGCAGGCACAGCTTGGAGGAGGGGACAGGTGCTGGGGCAGCCACCTGGGACTCTGCTGTCACCAGCTCTTCCCTCTGCTCTGTGCACAGCGTTGTGTGCTGTCCCAGTGATGTGTCCTGGCCTCAGAGCAGGGGGCCAGGACCAGAACCAGGGCTTCCCAAATCCCGCAGAAGTGGCTCTGGGAACACACACAGAAGAGGCTGTTAGGAGGGTAAGGTGGGCAGCCTGCCTTGGCCTCCCTAATGCCCTGGGTCTCCACTTCCTCTTTGGAAAGGTCAGCTTTCTGGCACATTCTATGAATGCAGGACTCCCCACTGAAGTCTTTGCACTGCAGGTGTGGGTGTTCATCAACAGGATAGGCACCTGCGACCTCTGGGACATCAGGGCCCTGACCTTGCGCAGTAGCCGATGTCATCTGTCCCTCTGAGGGAGGTCATTCAGACACAGGGCTGGGTGGCCGATGGCTTTCTGCCACAGGGTGCTGGGCCCCGTTGAGGCTCAGCCCGGGGCTGGGCGCTGTGGGCCCCACCTGGTCAGGGGACAGAGTAGCCAGCTGCCCCTACAGGGCTGGAGGGTGGAGCCCTGGTCCCCACATCCAGGACATGTGCTTGGGAGCCGGGTTTCTCTCTGCCCCTCCTGGCTTCTGCAGGCTGTTGGTGGGAGAACAGGAGACATCTGGGGAGCACACAGGCCTCTTGGCGGATGGAATCAAAGACCAGACCAAGGGTCTGGAGTGGTCAACACAGTGACTGAGTGTCACTGCATGGCTCAGGGGAACTCAGGTGCCATCTCCCTGTCTCCCACCCCGTGCATGCAGGGAGTTCTCTAAAAACGCAATGTCTCTGGAACGAGAATAGCCTCTGCTGGGCCGCTGACATCTCAGGCCGGACTTGCGTCTTTTCTGAGCATTTTAGTCAGCTTTGGAGTTGCCTCGTTTCTAGCCATTGTGTGAGATTCTGAGACCGGAAATCAGGAGAAGCCCCCTGGTGCTGGAGGTGACCTTGCCGCGCGTGTGCAGCCTGGCCCCCGAGGGCACGGGACGCGAGGCTGGCCTCCGTGTGCGCTCAGCATGCGTGGCTCACAGAGTGGAATTAAAGCCGGGTCTCCGGTTGCCATGGCAACTAGCTGTCTTTCTCCCCTCTCCGCGGTGTCAGTTTGAATTTGTGTAGACCATTTCTAACAAAGATTTATGCCAACAAATTCATTCAGCCCTGAGGTGAAGCCTAGTTTGAGAAGCAAATAATAAAATTAACAAAACTTAGAATGTTCCGACGAGGCCTTTCCATTTGTAAAGTGCTTGTCAGGGCCCCAGGAGAAGCCAGGCCCCGGTCCAAGGCCACGGGGAGGTCAATGAGGTATTTTGTGCAGCTTCTCGTTGGCCATTTGCGGCAAATGGACAACTTTAGGGGTTTTGGGGCCCCTTCAGAATGAGGGTCTCAGAGGGGTTTCACCTGAAAGGCTTTGCCTGGGGCCTGTGTGTGGGTGTGTCCCCACCAGCTCTCCAGGCACGTCAAGGCTCATGGGTCACGGGCACGGGCCCTCTTGGTCAGGGCTGAGTGGGCCCCCCATGGGCTCTGCAGGCCACAGGGTCAGGCTGGGCATGGGGCGGAGTGGTGACTGCATGGTGAGTGCCCAGTGTTCGTCCCGGGCGCTTTGAGGCCTGGCCCGCCTTCTGCGACCTTCAGGGCCCATCAGAAGGGCCATTCTGAGGAGACGCTTGAAGGGAGAGGACGAGAGTGGGCCACACAAGAAGACACCCTGAAAGCTAAGAATGTTCCCATTTCTCCTTTGTTCTTTCTGGCCTTTCCCAAGTGGTTAGTCCATTTTTATTCCCTTCCTCCCACAAATCACATTTTCTCTTCTCCTTTTTAGTCCTCAGACCCTCCTGGAGCCCAGATCCCCGGCTCTGTCCTTCAGGGGAGGCGTTAAATGAATATCAGGGGATGGTGAGGGGCCGCAGGTGAGTGAGCAGGGTGGGTGATGGGAGCGGGTGTGTAAGGGGCCCATCTTGTGGGGTGGGGGTGGGGGTAGGGATCTTGGACCACTTGCCTCCTCCTCGGGCCTCTTCTGAGCAGGATCCTGAAGGGTGCGGGGTGGGCTGGGGCCCCAGTGTCCACCACCCAAGGATGGGGCTGGAGGGGTGGTGTCCAGCCCTAACAAAGTAAGGCTGGAGGGAGACCAGCTGCTCGGGAGCTGTCCACGGTGCTGCCCAGAACCCTGCTGCTCTCACCCACCTGCTGGACACGCCCTCCATCCAGCTGGGGCCTGCTGGCTCCATCATCTCACCCTGTCTCACCCATGTGGCCCTGCCTGGGCTGGCCCATCAGACAGGGTCTGGCTCAGATGCTTCCGCTGTCCTTGCCGCTGCCAGTCGGTTGCCTCCTGCCTGGTTCCTGCCAAGGCTTCTGGCATTTGGGCCAAAGCAATTTTACCAAATTAGATGTGGTCCAAAGCAAGTGGCTCCACCTGGCAGTTTTGTAAGAGAATGCTTTGTTTGAAATTTAGCATTCCCAGGTCACTGGGTTTCTGGCATCAGCACCTCCAGCACAGCACACTTCACATTGCAAGGCGCTTCTTCCCTCTTCAAAATATCCTTGCGCCTAAAAAAAAAAAAATCCATATGTTAAGTTTCTAATCATGTTTCTCCCTGTTATTCTGGCTTTGAGCTGTTGGAACAACAGGGGTTTGCAACATGGTAACCTCTAACATAGGGACGGTCGGAGGAGCTCCCACCGTCACCTGGCGACTGGTCCACACTTCACAGCAAGTAGGCCAGCAGACGCTTGTGCAAGCCCTTTACACGTGCATGTGAGTATGAGCGAGAGTGTGTGTGACAGTGAGCAATAGCGCGTATGTACATGTGTGAGTGTGATCATGTGTGCACATGCACGTGCACAGGTGTAATTATGTGTGTGCACGTGTAGACATAAAAGTATATATATACACATACATGAATGTGCATGTGTGCATGTGACTATGCGTGTGCACATGTGCACTGAGACCACCTAGAGGAGGAGGGAGTTGGGTTGGTGCCCGACCGGGGCAGGATCATGGATTTTGGTCACCTTATTTTTTTGTCTCCATCTTTTCAGATCTCACTGCCTTGACTATGTATTGTTTCCTTGTAAAGAAAACCCCCAATAAAATCAGTTTAAAAAATAACAAACAATATGAAATGTTTATAGTTGTGACATTAGTTTTTTTTTTTAGTAGTGGTTATTTGTTTGCTGCACTATTTGCCTACATTAAAAGGCAAGATAAGAAAAATCACTAAAATTAAATACAAACCAAAAAAAATCAAGAAACAAAAAAAGCGAAATATTTTGAAAAACAAAAACAAAAGGAGAAAAAGCCTTGAATTCTGAAAAAGAATCACAACTTGTGACCATCAGTGAGCATTTTCTAAATCCCTCTTTACCCAAACTCGCCCTAGAAAGAACAGTGAGTGGATGTTCCCCCATGGCCTGCATGTGTGGGGGGCGAACTGCATTGTGAAGTTAATGAGGATCTGAGCTTTCAGACATTCTAAACTAGATAAACAGTGTGTGGATGTCCCGCCTGTCTGGGGGGCTGGGCCGTGTGAGGCACATGGCCCCGGTGGGGAGGTGGTGATGACAAGCCTGCCCCTCAGAGGCAGTCTGTGATGGGCACATGAACAGTGACATCTGCGGGGACGACAGTGCGTGAGGACGGTGGCAGGGCTGGGGCGCCATCCCAGGAGGACAGGGGCCCCACTACACATGCAGACCTTCTGGGGAAATGCTGTCACCAAGGCTGATGCAGAGAGTGAAGGAGAGACTCGATGGATCAAGACACCTGAGAGCCAGGTGTCCCCACGGCTGTGGCGACTCTGGGAGAAGGGCAGCTGGGTTCACAGGAAACTTCGAGTCCCCTTCTCCCCCGTTGGCGTGTTTACCTAGTTTAGAAGTGTCTGAAAGCTA